CCTGCTCGCGGGGCGGCGCCCGCGGGGCCGACGTGCGGGGCTTGACGTGCGGGGGCGACGCGCCGGGCCCTAGCGGACTCGGCGGGACCCCGCAGCGGCGTCGGGCCCGGCCGGCGGCCCGCCCCGGGCTCCGGGCACACGCCCTCCCGCGCAGCCCGCTAGGGAGGCGCCCCGAGGCGGGGCGGGGCGGGGCGCAGCCGGGTGGACCGGTTCGGGGGTGCAGGTGAAGAAGGCCCCGGACCCCCCCACCCCACCCCTCGCCGCCCGAGTCCGCCGGGCTGGGGAGAGAAGGGTGACGTGGGTGTCCGCGGCACGACGTCCGCAGCCGCCTGGCGCTTGCTGTGGGAGGACGAGCCGCTCGGCCCTCGGCGTCGTCTCAAAATAAGTAAATAATAAATGAATAAACAAACCCTCTGGAAGCCCGGCGTCATGGCAGGCCTGTAAGCGCAGCACTTGGGCTGCCGCGGCTACGGAGGATCGCTACGAATTCGGCCTCTGTGGGACAAATAGTGGAGTCAAGGCCGGTCTGAGCTGCTGACAAAACCCTGTCAACACAACCCGGCCGGGCCCGCGCGCTCACGCACGTACACAGGCTCTGAACACTCCCATCACCTCCTAACATGCCAGTCGGGACAAGCCGTAATTTAATTGAAATTAGTGATTAGACAGACAAGGTCTTAAGATCTCCTGGAACCCGGTAATGGTGTACTGCAAGAGAGGTGGCCTCTTCAGGTTTATCTGAAAAAAACGTAGACTCCTGTCATTGCTGTCACACCGTCTCTTATCTGCTTTCGTCGTTTGATGGCACCTCGTGGCGATTTTCCACCGCTAGCGTTTCGAAACACACGCTGTTTTTAAGTTAGGTTCGAAGTTTATCATCTCACACCTTGGGAGTCTGCTCTCAACTACAGCCTGAGGCTAGGTCTCAAAAACACTACATAGGTGCCCAATGCAATTGTTCACATCTGGGGAGATCAGGAGGCAGAGAGGGTCGCGGGGGTGCTCAGCTACTTCCTCATTTTCCTTTTTTTGTTCACTCTAGTATCAAGCCCATGAGATGGTGCCAAGTACATTCAGGATGGTTCTTGTTTCTCACTTAATCATCTCTGGAAACACCAGGCACAGACACACCCAAAATACCTCAAAAATGTCCCAGGCATTTCTTAGTCTAGTCAAGCCAACAATAAAAACACAGCCTGGTGTGATGGTACTCACCTTCAATCCCAACACTTGGGAGGCAGAGAGGCACAGTCTTACCTAGCTCAGGAGAGCCTAGAACTCACTCACAGTGTAGCTGAGAATGGCCTTGAATTCCTGGTGGCCCTCCCTCTGCCTGCCCTATGCCGGGGTTGCAGTTATGCACCATTCTGCTTGGTTTAACAGTTCTAGCATTGTTCAGAGATCTGAGGCTCAGGGCAGTCCTCCTAGACGCTCCTGTAAAATGAAAGCAAGTTATGAGGTGGGTACGGTGACTCACGCCTGTAATCCCAGCACTCAGGGAGGCAGAGGCAGGTGGATCTCTGGGAGTTGGAGGCCAGCCTGGTCCAGGACAGCCAAGCTACCCGGAGAAACACGGCCCGGAAAAAAAAAAAAAAAAAAAAGTTCTGTACCCCCATTACACAATGGCATGGCGAATGCATGCACATTCCAAAAGTGAGGAAAAGGAAAATAACAAGGAAAGATCTGGTCAAAGCAGGACCATAACCCATCAGGGCAAATGTCAACCCTTGCAGCTAGCTCCGTATTCACTATCCAGGGCTTTAGTGGCATCATCTGAGTTCCAACAGGCTTGGGTAGTGTGGGAAGGGACACAGTGCAAAAAGCTGGAAGCTCTTGCTTAGCACAATCTGACAATCTGAACTCTGTTCCAGGAACCCATGGCGGGAGACGACTGATCCCCAAGACTTGTCCCCTGGCATCTATACATGCCGTGTGACTCCTGCAACACACACGATAACACACAAACAATTGTTTTTTAGAGACAGATTCTCATTATGTTGCCCTCACTTGCCTGAAATTCACCATGTATCCCCTGGTTGTCCTCACGTTCACAAGAATCTACCTGCTTCTGCTGGAGCAGAAAGCATGCACCCATACACTCTAAACATATAGTTTTAATTATATGTATAGTGTGTGTGTGTTTCTGTGTTGGGGTTAGTGCAGATCAGTGCAGCACTCTCAGAGTGCCAGAAGAAGGAAAGTATTTGCTCTGGTCTTGCTTTACTTCTTTTTTTATTTTTATTTTTTGTCTTACTGTGTAGCCTTGGCTATATGCTACCCGCAGCTCTGACTACACAACTCTTTTTAACATGTTTTTTATTTTAATTTTATGTACATTGGTGTTTTGAGTGCGTGCATGTCTGCATGAGGATGTTGGATCCCCTGGAACAAGAGTTAGAGACAGTTTTGAGCTGCCATGAAGGTGCCGGGAATTGAAACTTGGGTCCTCTGGAGGCGTACTCAGTGCTCTTAACCACTGAGCCATCTCTCCAGCCTGACTCCACTCCTCTTGATTTTAGTATGGAGAACAACTGTCAGGACACTGGGATGTACCTCAGCTGGTAGAAGAGCCTTGGCCTCTCATGAAAGTTATGGCTGCCATCCCTGATATGGCAAAAACCAAGTATGCCGTTGCGTACCTATAACCTTAATACTCTGATGTGGGAGCAAAAGGATAGTGAGTTTAAGGTCATCTTCAGGTGCAGAGTAAGTTCAAGGCCAATTTAGGACACATGAAACACACACTTTCACCCCACCCCCCACCACACACACAAAAGGAGAATCTCAGGCTGTCGGGTCAGAGTCAAGTTAGAAAGTTTGTTGAAAAACATTTTTGTTTGTTTGAAAGAGTCTGGTGTAGTCCAGGCTGGCCCTGAACACCTTGCCTTTCTGCCTCTACAGGTTACAGTTGCACCCTATCATGTCCAGCCTGAGGAGATTAGTGGCAGCTTATAAAATGGCGGCAGCTTCCAGAGACACATTGTTGAAAGCTTCTAAGGAATTGTTTCTCTCAGCTAATCAGACCTAGGTTAGTTCCTGAGGTGCAGTAGATATGGGTAGAAGCCAATGAGATAAAACTACAGACAAGCTGCAGAAATTACTCAGCCATTAAGATCACTCGCTGCTCTTTGTAGAGGACTCAGGGCAGGAGGGATGTTGGTGTCAAACTCATCCGTACGTAGTCCCAGAGGATCAGACACACTTCTCTGGCCTTCATGGGCGCTAGGTGTACATGTGGGACACAGATATTCATGCAGGCAGAACAACTTTATTTATTTATTTATTTTTTGGCAGGAGGTATTGGGCTGGTTGGCTGTCCTGGACTCAATTTGTAGACCAGACTGGCCTTGAACTCACAGAGCTCCCCCAGCCTCTGTCTCCCAGAGTGCTGGGATTACAGGTGTGTGCCACCCCGCAGGCAGATTTTTCTTTTCTTTTGTTCTTTTCTTTTCGATACAGGGTTTCGCAATGTAACGCCCTGGCTGTCCTGGAACTCTCTCTGTAGACCAGGCTGGCCTCAGAGAGTCGCCTGCCTCTGCCTCCCAGGTGCTGGGATTAAAGGAATGCGCCTGCACAGTCCGGCCAGGCAGAACTTTAATATACAAAAAAATCTAAAAAATGATCTATAGGTCACAGGCCTGAGGAATCCTTACCGTACGAGGTCGGAGTTCAGACGTGCTGTTTTAAGCATCAACAAAGTTTGTAGTCTTGATTGTGATATTTTCAGAAAATTAGAAGGTTGCAACTGGGAAAGGAATAAAGCTAAACTCAAAGGTCTCATGAGGTTAGATATGATTGTTGCTGTTTTAACACTTATTTGCCAAATGCCTCCCAGGACTCAGGAGACAGAGGCGGGAAAGGTCCTGAGACTGTCCTAGTCTGCTAGGTAATTTCCAGGACAGCCAAGGATACATAGTAAAACACTGTTTCAAAGAAATCCAAACTAAAAACATTCATTAAAAAAAAAAAGAATCTTGTCTCTACGTAGTGAATTCTGTCATATGTAACAAAATTCCTACCCTCAGCCCCTGAGAGGCTTAAGGGGCCTTCTTATTCCTTTGAGCCCTACAGGTCTCTTGACCAACCAGAGCACCACACCCTGTTTTTGTTTTTTTTCTTCCTACTGTCTGGCTGCTGCTTTTCGCTCTTATTTGCTGGCGCTCTTCCATCTATTTCTGATTTCTGGGAGGTGATGCAAACCTTATCTTTAGACCTTTTCTCTCCATGTTATCTAAAAAAAAAAAAAAAAAAAAAAACAAAAAAACAATAAAAGCCCGGCAGGCGCTATGACACATGCCTTTAATCCCAACAGAGGAACAAGGAGGGGGATCTCTGAGTTCGAGGCCAGTTTGGTCTACAGAGTTTCAGGACAGCCGGGGCTACACAGAGAAACCCTGTCTCATAAAACAAACAAACAAACAAACAACCCACTCTCGTTTTTACTGAGACCCGTCAACATAGGCCGAGTTCATACAAAGACGGGGAAGACAGCAGGCGGGGTCATCTACCCGGGTCATCTCCGAGAAGTAACCGCACAAGCCTGGGTAATGACTTCCACACCAAGAGGGCCCTGGGGGAGGAGATCACCA